AGATTGATCAATAATAAGATCATTCATAAAACTATTGTTCTCCATCACATATGCCAATGTGCATGAGACCCATCACTTCATATATCAAGAAAGCATAGGAGTATATATTAAGATCCAATAAATTATATATATCAAATGAACACACAATCAAAATTAAACTTTACTAAATATATAACTTTTGTTAAAAGGAAAAATAGAATGGAGAAAAAAAGGGGAATCTCATATTCATTCTTTATACATTTTGTATAATGGTACATTATATATAGGGTACAAGATAATCTATACAATAAATTTCAGAAACCGTTTCAACCGTTACAAGAATAAATACTAATAATGTCCATTAATAATATATATTTGTAACACTCCTCTTGGACATTATTTGTCCACAACCTTGCCTCGTTAAAAACTTGCTAGGAAAACCCTGTGGAAAAAACCTAAACAAGAAAAGAGTACAAGGTATATCGATACAATAAATTACAGAAACCATTTCAACCGTTACAAAAATAAATACTAATAATGTCCATTAATAATATATATTTGTAACAACTTTTATAATTGTTTTTATTTTATCTATATTTGAGAAAATTATAATTAAAATCATCTTTTATAAAAAAGTTCAAATTTATGTCATCAAATTATGAGATATTTGGTGTTAGATTGTTAATGCATGATCATATGTGAGAAACAATATCAATAGAATATACTCCCTCCGTCCCGAATTAGATGTCTCATTTACTTTTTGCACGTTTTTTAATGAATTAAAGTAAATGTTATGCACTTTCCAATTATGCCCCTCACTTTTTCACTTTTGGAAATAAAAACAATAAAGAAAGCAAAAGCTAGAAGGGTAATTTGAAAAAAAGTGGAATGATAGTGATGTTCAATTTTGGAAAGTGGACAACATTTTGGGACAAACTAAAAAGGAAAGTAAGACACATAAAATGGGACAGAGGGAGTAGCATATAAGGCTAGCCCAATTAGACCGAATACACCACTAGTAGAAGCTAAAGAGCGGAAGTGACCCATGCCTAATCGTTATACCATGCTCCAGGTCCACAGTGCATTGTGGATCATGGTCCTAAGTGACGTAATTTTAGATTTTAATTTTGATAGAGACTGTTTCTTGTTCAGTTTACGTTATATATTTTATTTTTACTGTAAAGTATGTGTATGTGTGTTGTTTTATGCGTTTATATGTCTCATGTTATGTAATTATGTACCTTAAGCGTATGGATTATGTACCTGAACTAAAGTAAATATAAACCATGTGTATGTATCTTGTGTTATACGTTTATGTGTCTCATGTTATGCAATTATGTACCTTAAGCGTATGGATTATATCTGTATCTTAAATAGATTAGTAACTGTGTAACACACAACATATTGTGTGTCTTATTTTAAGAATTTGTGTTTTGTATTATGAAATTATGTGCCTAGACATATATTATCTACATAAATCAGATTTGAGAATAAGTAAATATATAACATGTATGTGTCTTGTGGTGTGAGTTTTTGTGTCTCGTGTTATGAAATCATGTACCTTAAGTGTATTGATTCTGTACTTATAATAAATTAACATTTGTGTTAAAACATGAGAAATATGAAACTACAAAATTTGTTAAAACTTAAATATCAAAATGATGTCATTTTGATCCAAGAGTTCATAATACTATGTAGAACTTGGTCCACGATATACATTGCCACCCATGCCTTTGGCTCATACTAAGCACCAATCAATCATGTGCATGCCAAACAAGGATTATGACTTGCATTTATTGCGTTTCGAGGATTATACAATTAACTGTGAGTTAATACTCAAAATGACCTTGATTATAGTGGTTTTTTTCAATTTCGTCCTAAAAAGCTTTGGTGACCTAATGTAGTCCCAGACTTTTGTGTTTTTGTTCAATTTAATCCTTCGTTTGTTATTCCATCAAATTGGTGTTATAAAAACAAAAAAAGATAATTCATTAATCTCAATATTCGCTTCTCTTTACTCTCAACCCTGCGAAGTGCGAAATCTCTTTTTCTTTTACGAATTACTCAAAGACCTACGAATCAAATTTTATATTCGTAAGTTTGAGAGTAATTCGTCAAAGAAAGAGATATTTCGCACTATGCATATCTAGGGGTAAAGAGATGCTAATATTGAAATTACTGAATTACCACTCTATTTAACATCAAATGGACGGAATAACAAACGAATGACTAAATTGAACAAAAATACAAAAGTCTAAGACTGTATTAAATCACCAAAATTGTTTAAGATTAAATTGACCATTATAGTCGATGACGATTTTTAATATTAACTCACCAATTACTATAAGGGAAGATTTGTACTTGATAATTGTATCATAAGCCCTAATGCTTAAATTCAACTCATTGTACGTAACTTGTAATAATTATAGCATAAATATTCCATAATTTATAAAAGGGAGGAATAATGTTCAAATTGGCTAGTGAACGTAACCTGAAAATGCAATTAGGCCACTGAACGAAAAAAAAAAATACAATTAGGTCACTGAACACTCCAAAAACGTGCAATTAGGTCACTGAACACTCTAAATGTATGCAATTTCACCGGATAGCAAGTTACCTGCTTACGTGGCCGCTGAGTTGGCATTTTTAATAAATTTTAATAATAAATTTAAAAATAAATAAATAAATAAAACGCCGGCCATCCCGTCGTTTTTTTTTTTTTTTTTTAAATTTGTTTTTAAATTTTATTATTAAAAATTATTAAAAATGTCAACTCAGCTGCCACGTAAGCAGGTAACATGCTAAAAGTGATGGTAACCTGCTATCAGGTGAAATTGCATACATTTGGAGTGTTCAGTGATCTAATTGTACCTTTTTTTTTTTCGTTCAGTGGCCTAATTGCATTTTCCGGTTACATTTAGTGGCCAATTTGAACCTTATTCATCTGGGTTGTTACTCTCATCAAGAGTAGGAATGGTAATGGGGCGAGGCAGGTGCGGGGATATATTCCCCGCCCTCGCACCCGCATTCCCAACCTACTCTCTGCTCCTATGTGGATAATAAAATTTTTACCTCATTTTCGCGGCAATTTATACCATACACCCCGGCGTATGACTCTACGTGCGCCCAGCTTCAATACGACACCGTATGACATTGGTAAGTAACCGTTTTTTTTTTTTATTTTTCCGTTGCCGCCGTTAAGTTTTAAGAAAAGGGAAGTAAGCGAGGGTTTCTAAAGTGATGGTTTCGAACATGTTTGTTGGATTTGTTGAATTAGAAACCAACACTGTAGGGACGACCATCTTAATCGAGCTGATCTTTGCGATTTGCTCTATATTTCGCAATTATTGGATTTAAGACATGGATGAATCGATTGCGCAGCAGCATGTGGCGGAGACAGAGCAATTAACTGATCCGGTTGGAGTGGCAGATACAGAGAATGTTAATCCAGGTTTTTATATTTGATTTCTCAGATTATTTTGTATTTTTTCGCTGTGTGATGAATATTATTGAATTTGCATGGGATACTGATTCGTTGAATTATATGAGAATTGGTATAGGAATTGGTGTTTTTGATTGTGTTTGTATTGGATGTGAGTATGGTCTGACTAGAAGGTATTAATTTAGGGATGTTTTATGTGCATTATATGGTTTGATTTGTGCATTTTTTTTATGCAATTGTGTAGATTTTATGATTCAATGACATAGTAAGATGGACTAAAAAGATATTTTATATATTTATGATTATATATATTGTGGTATGTGTTTATGTGTATTATAGTTACGGATTATGTACATTAATCGTAGGGGTACTTAAATTGTATGTGGTTTGCAGCTGATCAGGATTTGGTAGGGATGTCAGCGTGTTCGCTTGATGAAGCATATGACATGTATAATGACTATGCTTTTAGAGTAGGTTTTAGTGTGAGGAGGGGTAAGCAAAGATATACTTTGCTACAAAAACAATGAAGACGAAGATGTTTCATTGTTCGAAGGATGGATTTAAAAGGATTACAGGAAAATGGTGTTATTCTAAAATTGATGGTCGTACAGGTTGCGATGCATTTGTCCAATTCGATTTAGATGAGAATGGGATGTGGATTGCTTCGAAGCATGAGAAGTTGCATAATCACGAATTGGTTCCACCAAGCAAGAGTTACCTTCTAAGGTCACATAGGATGGTGTCTAGGAATCATATTTCTTATCTTACTGATTTGAAGAGTAGTGGTGTGTCTGTTGCAGATGGTGTAAGATTCCTTAAAACACAATCAGGGGGATCACCACTTGTTGGTTTTACGTGTAGGGATGCATATAACTCTTTATGTACCGATGCATTGAACAAATTGGATGGGACTGACTCAAACACACTGATTGAAATATTCAAACGAAGGTAGTCAAGTGAAAAGGATTTTTACTTTGATTTTGAGGTGGATTTGGAGTCAAGGTTTTGTAGTTTTTTTTGGAGGGATGGACGAATGAGGAGAGATTATGAATTGTTTGGGGACTTGTTAGTTCACGATACAACATATCGTACTAACAAATATGACATGATTTGTGGACCTTTTGTTGGCATGAATCACCATTGCATGAATGTCATGTTTGGATGCGGTTTTTTGATGAATGAGAAGACTGAGTCATTTGTATGGTTGTTTAAGTCATTTTTGAGATCTATGGATTACAAAAGTCCACAAAGTATAATGACTGATCAATGTGCTGCATGGCTGTTGCAATTGTTCAAGTTTTCCCAAGTTCACGGCATCGGCTATGTATATGGCATATTAGTGAGAACTCAAAGAAGCACATTAAAGGGTTAAGAAATCAAAAAGATTTCTTAGATATATTCAATTGTTTGCTGAAGTATACGGATACAGAGGCAGAGTTTGAATTTTACTGGACAAGGTATGTGTCTGATTTATGCTTCGTTATTTTTTTTTTATATTATTAGTTTATATTGGCTTATCATAGAATGATTATTTTTAGATTATATATTCCAGAATACAGAATTATTTTTTTGGATCAAGTTTATGTGTATTACTTTGATAGTTTATGTGTATTCACGTATAAGATTATGTACAATAGTAGGTTCTGTATGTGATATCCCGATATGTTTGTAGGTTTACTTTAATATATATATATATATATATATATATATATATATATATATATATATATATATATATATATACATATATACATATATACATATATATATATAGATATGTATATATATATATATATATATATATATATATATGTATATATATATATATATGTATATATATATATATGTATATATATATATATGTATATATATATATATATGTATATATATATATATATATATATATATATATATATATATATATATGGCATGTTATTTCAGGATGGTTACAACATAGAAATGTCACAATAATCATTGGATTGAAAAGCTTTATGGTGTAGAGAAAAATGGTGCCCTGCATTTAATAAAGATTATTTTTCGGGTGGGATTTTATCTTCTCAAAGGAGTGAGACCACAAACCACTCTATTTCTAGAAGGTTGTGTAAGACTTCTGGACTGTGTGATTTTTATAGCTCATTTGTTGGGGTTATATCAGAGTGGAGAAGTAGAGAGAATGGGGAAGATGTTCGATGTTCACAAGGTGTACCTACAATGGTGATGGATAATGTTAAGATTCTGTTGCATGCTAGGGAAATTTATACAATTGAGATATACTATTTGTTTGAAGAACAATTTTTGAAAGGTGGATCATGCTATCAAGAGTGTGTGATGTTGAAAGATGGTGTGTACAAATATCATGTTTGGAGGTTTGATGTTGATATTATTAGGCATGAAGTGAACTTTAACAATAGACAAATGGACATTGGATGTAGTTGCAAGTTGTTCACTGAATTGGGGATTTTGTGTTGTCATTGTTTACGCATTCTAAATGTGCATTGTGTTTCTGAAGTTCCTGAGAAATGTATTTTGAAGAGGTGGACTAAAAAAGTCGTTGAAGATGATAATTTTGATATAATGTCTAAAGTTGATAGTGATAATGTTGCATCTTCTGTTTGGCTATTAGAAATCATTAGGAAATTTCAGAGGCTTGCTGTTTACAGTCAAGAAAATATCGAAGGACGGAAGATTTGTGAAGAAGCAATTGCAGATGCAAAGAGAAGACTTGAAGCTGAATGTGATGGTAGTTATAAAGGATCCATCAACTAGGCGGATGAAAGGGTTGCGAAATAGGAGGGTGAGCAGTGTTATTTCAAAGATATATAACGAAGCAAGGGGACAGAAGCATCTTGCACATATGGTTGCTTCCAAAATAAAATCTGCTGTTCAGTCTCAAGTTGAGGATGATATTTCAAATATTGCTGGTAATGGATATCTTGTGCATCCAAGTTCTGGAGGTTCTAATTTTTGTCATGTTAGCACAATAACAACTATGGAGGATAATCAAAGCATATGTTAGTGTTAATCATCGTAGTTATATGTATTGGGTACAGAAGGATGTTGAATCATATAACTCAGCAGTAATAAAATAGACCTTTATTATGATGTGTGTTGTTTTACAAGTTTATGTGTATTCATTATATAGTTTATGTGTATTACTTCAAATGATTATGTACATTTTTATTTGTGTTCATTACTTTTATATATTTATGTACATTTTTTTTTTAGATTTGCAGTTATCAGTATAGGGAAATGATATGCTTGGTCCTATGTGTATTCTTTGCATGGATTATATTCAGTAGGGTGTTAGATTGTATAAATTAGCAGAAACAAAGATATTTCTCAGACTTTTTTTTATTAGTATGTGCACTGTTTTAAAATTTTATGTGTATTCATTATATAGTTTATGTGTATTACTTCATATGATTATGTACATTTTTATTTGTGTTCATTACTTTTATATATTTATATACATTTTTTTTAGATTTGCAGTTATCAGTACAGGGAAATGATATGCTTGGTCTTATGTGTATTCTTTGAATGGATTACATTCAGTAGGGTGTTGGATTGCATAACTTAGCAGAAACAAAGATATTTATCAGATCTTTTTTATTAGTATGTGTACTGTTTGAAACGTTTATGTGTATTCGTTATATGGTTTATGTGTATTACTTTATATGATTATGTACATTTTTTTAATAGTTTATAGTTTGTGTAGTCTTTGCATTGATTATGCACAAAACTATATTGCAATATGAATAATATAAAATATGAGTGAACATGAGCTTGGATTACCAAAAGGGTTTTATACATATTTCTGCTAATAGTCAATCAACTGAAACTTCCAAAATTGAACCAAAGTACAAGTAATGAAGTAAATATGAGCTTGGATTAGCAGAATTGATTTTTTACAGATTCTTGTTAATAGTTTCATTTTAATTTCTTGTAAATGTCTCTTGCTGATTGCCTGACTGTTTCCATGTATTCATTGTTTTTCCACATGAGTATGTTTGCTGGATACTTGGCTCTAAGTGACGTAATGAAAGCAGCCTACAATTAAAAAAAAAAAGATAGATGTTAAAATAAGAAGAAACAAGAGATAACATGTGTAATGTAGAACAATGTTGATTATTACTTACATCCTCATCTCCCCCCGTGAAACCAGTGTCCCACTTGTCTACTTCAGTCCCTTTGTAAGTCTCCATGTGGCGCATGCAATATACGCCACAATCTGTCGTGTTCTCGTCATCCTGCCATGGCATTTGAATGCACTCCACTTCAATAATCTTGACTTTCCTAGCAAGGGAGTTTTTCTTTGTTTGAGGTATCTGTAGAAAGCTGTTTTCTGCAGAATATAGTAATTGTAGTGTTTAATTAATTTGAGTAATGTAGATATTAAACTATAGGCTATAGATATTAAATATTAGTATTAGTATATCTTACCAATTTGGCTGGGCAGTTCTCATATCTGTTTTTACTTGGTATTCCTTCAGGCAATAGTTTGTTGTCAATGATATGAAGTTTTGATTTGGGGATGTTAAAGTACATTAAGTAGTAGTGATTGTGCCTCAAGAGTGTAAAGAAAACCTGAAATGAATAATTAAAAGGGATTTAACAAATTGTGTCAAATACAGAAGTAAATTCAATAATCTTAGAATTCACATACTTAGGTATATAGATTTTTTTTTTTTACTTACAAGACTTGCATCAGTTATGTCAATAGCAGTCCCCCTCAACTGGTAGTCAATATTTGTACAGAAGTCACCAACATTCATATTCCTAGCTTTTATCTCAACATTTTCAAGCGTCATCTGTAAAGAAGAGGTTGGGTGTCATATAGTACATTGTTTAAAAAAATGTTTAGTTCAAGACGTGTACTTACGTAAGCAGCCTCTGAGAAGAATATCCTCTTTGGCTGATCAAATGCTCTTTTCATATCAATCATGGTCAATCTGTGTGCCCAAATCTGCAGAATATTGGTAGCTAGTTGCCCACTTGCCAGTGTTGCAAAGTCCTCTCTTGTTGCAAACAGATCATGGGCAGAAAACAACATTTCACTAGAAATAAACAAAACAAATTGATATTACGTTTTGAAATCTTAAAATAATGCACAGGTATGGAATTAAAGTTCATAATGTAAAGTACTCTACTGTTGCATAATGTAAATGTATAATGTACATAATGTTATGAAGTAATACACATAATGTATAACCAGGATACACATAATTTTGAGTATAAGAATAGCGTTTATCTATGATGAGGTATAGCAATTGAAAACATTTATTATAACAAGTTATAGAAGAAATACATACAAAGAAGGGTATTATTCTTCATTTGGTGGCAGGAACGTATAGTCCGAGATCAGTTTTTCCCTGGCTGAAACATTTTTGAGCTTTGAAATGTTGCTTGTCCAGTACGGGGATCGACAGGCCAGAGGGAGCTTCTTGAATTTTCGGTGTGGCCTTTTCCAGACATTGACATCTTCAACCTCATCTTCAGACTCAGCCATGATGCTTTGTAGAGATAGAAAAGTAATTATTAACATGTTTTAACTTTTAAGCAGTAGGCATAATAGCATGATTAAACTAACTAATAAGGCTAAAAATGTACATAATATTATAGCAGAATACACATAAAATATTAAAGCAATATACATAACCACAATTGGTTCATGATTGATGAGATATTAAACTGAACTATAAATTTGTACATAATTACTAGATTAAATACACATAATGATATTGTTAAGTGATAAGTGAGTTTTACCTATCAAATTCAAGTTGGTCTGGAGTTTGTTGTTCCGGGGCTAGTAGTGATTGTGTTGACCCATCAGCTATGTCATCAACCAACTTCTCCAAGATTGTTGCAATTGGGGTCATTGGTGTTGTATTTTCGTCCATTGCTTGTGGTGGTGGTGTGTTGGGTGCTGCTGATGGTGTTGCTGCTGATGTTGGTGCAAATGCTGCTTGTGGTTTTGATGTTGGTGCGTGTGGAGGTGGTGTTGTTTCGGGTGGAGTTGCATTTGTTGTTGCTTCTTCAGGTATGTTTGGTGTAGTAGCATCAGGGCCAGTTGGCGTTAGCAGATGAAATGTGGGTGCAGGGATGTCAGTAGTCGACATGTTCTTTAATGTAGCCATGAATGCTGCTTCAAGTTCAGCAACGGCATCCAAGAAACTTGGCTGGTTGTATATATCATCATCACGTAGTAGGCTCTATGGTGGGGTTGGATTCGGGTTTGGCGTGAGGTTTGCATTGGTGGATAAGTTGCTGAATACATTCTTTATAATATCAATGACAGGGTGTTTGCCCCAACCCCTGCCATGACCTCACCAAACTCCATAATGCTTGTGGTCATTTTCTTCAAGGCTTTGGTGACCTTTTCAACTTCTTGACCTAGTGGCAGTTCCTGAGGTGGTGGCGGCTGTGCAACTGGGATGTATTCAACAACTTTCCCCCTTCCAAAGCCGCCTATGTTTCTATCAACCTTGACCCTTTCTCTCAAATCGCTTGAAGTCCATGAAGTGATTGTAGGAATCCTCTTTCTGACTATCTCTCCTCTAACCTACACCTTGTCTAGGTATGATAGCTTCAAATAGAGAAACAAAACAAAAAGAAAAAAAAAAAAAAAGATAAACCACTCAAAATTAATATCAGTTCAGGATGACATAGTAGACTACACATAACTTCATTAAAAATTGTACATAATTATAAACTATAATATACATAATATATATCCAAAATACACAAAGTTGTAGGACAACATACAAAGTCCATACCATTAGGAAAGTGGCAGGCCCATTGAAGGCTGCCTCACGCTTGCTTCTCCATGATGAGGTGGTGTCAACAAGAGATCTTATTGTGTAAGCACACCAGTTGAAGTCTTTGATTTTGCTGACATCTTGCAGTGAATAGAGGAGCTTGTAGTTGCAAAACATATTCTTGAAACCTTTTATCAGTGTAGAAACAGTGTAGATTATAAAGTCACGCTTGAACATGTCGCCATGGTCACGCCTCTTAATGATCCCATTCAGCATCTGGCTCGTTTTTGGTGCGCCTGTCTTTTATACCCCCACCGTTCTCTCTAAAGTGCAACCAAGTGTTTGAACTGTGGGTCTTTGCTCGTTACTTCACCCTCTATAACAGTCTGTTGGCCTTTGGGGATACCAAGTGTTGAATGTACATCATCATTTCCTAGAAGGAGATCTTCCTCTTCCATATGGATCGAGCATCTACCAACATCAAATCGCTCAAGAAGGTATCTCAGAAGTTCACCATCATATGAAGAAAGTGTTGCACTTAAAAGGGATCCAAACCCTATATCTCGAACAACTTGGTGCTGTTTCGGGCTCAAACTGCTCACAAGTGCACAGAGCTGTTTTGGGGAGATTCTTACAGCCAAGTAATCACTGTGTTTTGTTTTTTTCTTCTTTACTTTTTCCTCATTTCTTATCCTCTTTGGGGTTTTTTTTTTATGTTGGGCAGTTGTACAGGTGTGGGTTGTCTTTTGTTTTTTGGCAGCAGGCTGCTTGGGGTCATCATTGGTATCTGTTTTGATTTCAGCATTTGCTGGTTCAGAATCTGTTTCAGCACCTTTTGATGCAGTAG